CGAATTGGAAGCTTATTACCATCTGATGGAATTGTCCCGAAATTTGCGCAGTTATACATTTATGACACGCAAAACGAAGATTTCAATAGGATCATGCCTGTGAGGTATATATTATGTGAAGCTTAATTTTACACTATTTCACGTTGGACACAATAGTCGGAATCATAGTTTATTACCGACATAACAATTTTTATATTTCCTTCATAAATTAATTTCATCATTATTTATAGGAAAGAAGAGAATGTGCATTCATTACATGTCGAGATTGTTGCCAAGCTCAGGGAAATGTTGGATACTCACAATGTATTGGTCCAGTCCTTTCGGATGATTGGCCAAAGGATGAGTGAATCCACGGATTTAGAATTCAAATTGAAGTTAATTGGGAGGAGAACTTCAGATCCAAGGGTTTATAATTTACCGTCTGTTGGTGAAGTGGCAGCTTTAATTGTAGGAGATCTTGACCGGGCTCTAGGAGAGAGGGATATTCTGGTCCAAACTCATTCTGGGCCGTTGAAACGGATAAGTGAGTTGAATGCGGCATATCTAAGTCTTGAATATCGACTATTGTTTCCGTATGGCAATGATGGATATCGAGAGGATATCCCTTTTGTTGAGAATACACTGCTAAAGGTTGGGGGTCGTAGAAGTGTTAGGCATCAGAGAATTCCTCTCTTATCGTTTACACGAAAGGGATGATGAAAGTTCATTCATCTTGCGATCGCGACGACTTTTTCAAGAGCTTTGTGTTGATGGTTATATGATGGTTGAGTCATCCAGATTGACGTACATTAGCACGCACTAGAAAAAGTTACGTTGTGAGATGTACAATAGGTTTTCAGATTCGTTGGTGCAAGGTGACAACGATACGTCTACCAAAGGAAAAAGAATTATTGTACCTCCTACGTTTGTTGGCGGTGCGCGTTTCATGATTCAAAACTATCAAGATGCTCTGGAATTATGTCGTTGGACTGGCTATCCAGATCTCTTTATAACATTCACATGCAATCCAAAATGGCCAGAGATTGAATGTTACTTGCGTGGAAGAGATTTAAAGGCTGAAGATCGTCCAGATATTCTCTCTAGGGTCTTCAATATGAAACTAAATGGATTAATACGAGACTTAAAGAAGAATAAGATTTTTGGAAGAACTAGAGGACGTAAGTTCTTTTTTTCTATCTACTTTATACTCAATCTAATTTATTATAATTACATTATCCAATATAATTCGTGTACCCTCTTTTATACTATCGAGTTCCAGAAGCGCGGACTCCCACATGCCCACATCTTATTGTTTTTGGGTCAAGAAGATAAATTCCCCACGCCAAAAGACATTGATCAAATCATTTCTGCTGAGTTGCCTGATGAATTGCATGAATCAAGATACTTCAATGCTGTTCGAGATTTTATGATTCACGGCCTGTGCGGCTCAAATTTGCCAAACTCACCTTGCATGAAGGATGGAAAATGCTCTCAATATTTTCCAATGGAATTCAACGAGGAAACAAATATTGACGAGGATGGCTACCCAAAATATCGAAGAAGGAATAATGGTCGGACCATAATGAAGAACAATGTTGAGTTGGATAATAGGTTCGTAGTCCCACACAATAGATATTTGTTGATGAAGTACGGTGCTCACCTAAATGTTGAATGGTGTAATCAATCGCGGTCCATCAAATATTTGTTCAAGTACATCAACAAAGGCCATGACCGCGTCACTGCAGGATTTTATGCTAGCACACAAAGCGGAGAGAAAGAGCATACAGAAACTCCAAATGAAGTTAAAATGTATTACGATTGCAGATATATCTCTCCTTGCGAGGCAACTTGGTGAATATTTGGATTTCCAATACAATATAAATGTCCAAATGTTGAACGCTTAAGCTTTCACCTTCCTGGTGAACATTGGATTTTCTTTGAAGATGATGATGATGATGCAAGTGATGTTTACACTCGAGAGAGCATAAAAGAGAGTAAATTTCTTGCTTGGATGAGAGCAAATGACAAATATCCTCTTGCAAAGACGCTAACATATGCCGAGTTCCCGCAAAAAATTGTTTGGAAGCAAGCTAAAAGAGAGTATGTACCTCGACTAAGAGGCTTTGCTATTGGACGTGTTGTATACGTCCCACCAGGCTCTGGTGAGTCTTATTATATGAGAATTCTCCTAAACATAGTTCGAGGTCCGACGTCGTACGAAGATTTGAGAATTGTCGATGATGTAATTCACAACACCTATCGTGATGCATGCTATGCTCTGGGTTTACTAGATGATGACAGAGAGTACATCGATGCTTTTAAGGAAGCAAGTTCTTGGTGTTCAGCCAAACAGCTGAGATTCTTATTTGTAACACTATTAACAAACGAATCAATGTCTAGGCCAAAACATGTCTGGGAACAATGTTGGGAATTCATGGCTGATGATATTCTAGATCGTCAAAGATGTCTTCTGGGTCATCAAGGTATTATGCAACTAATATTATTAGTATTTTAAAACACACTCTCTTTGATTAACTGTACTCATCCCATCCACAGGTTTAGTCTTAACCGAAGATCAAATAAACAATTTGCCTTGATCGAGATAGAGATGTTACTTAGGATGCGAGCTAGGAGTCTTTGAGATATTGTTGACATGCCTTTTCCAATTCTAGACGCAGCTTCAACGACTCGCAACAGATTAATTCTTGACGAATTACAATACGATCGGCATGCATTGAAAGATGAACATCATAGGATGATGGGACAGTTGAATGAAGAACAACGACACGCTTATGAAACAATAATGGAATCTGTCGATTCGGCTTAAGGGAAGATTTTTTTCGTTTATGGTTATGGCGGGACAGGCAAGACTTTCGTCTAGAAAACATTGTCTGCTTGCATACGTTCAAGAGGAGATATTGTGTTAAATGTTGCTTCGAGTGGTATTGCCTCATTATTGTTACCCGGGGGAAGAACTGCTCACTCGCGCTTTGGAATTCCTATTAATCCCAATGAAAATTCCACATGTAACATTAAACAAAAAACTCCTCTTGTAGATTTATTGGTTATAAGCAAGCTTATAATTTGGGACGAAGCTCCAATGACCCATAAATACTGTTTTGAAGCCGTGGACCGAACTCTGCATGATTTAATGAGTGTAGTTTGTCAAACAAACTCGAGCCTTCCATTTGGAGGAAAGACAATTGTGTTTGGAAGAGATTTTCGACAAATTCTACCCGTCATACCTAAAGGAAGAAGGCAAGACATCGTCAATGCTACGATTAATTTTTCGTATTTGTGGAAATATTGCACGGTCTTGCGCTTGACAACTAACATGTGTTTACAACACATGTCTCGCGATGACAACTTTGACAGCATGAGAGAATTTGCTGAGTGGATTGCGAGTATCGGGGATGGTTTTGCCGGGGAGAAAACGATGGAGTTGCCGATGTTATTATCCTAGAGGATATGTTGTTAAAAACTATGGATGGTCCAATTGCATCTATAGTAAAAGCAACTTATCCAGACTTCCACAATATTGCAAATGATCCAACATATTTGCAAAGTCGAGCAATCTTGGCACCAACGCTAGAAGTCGTGGATGAAATAAATGAATACATGACGTCCTTAAACAACGTCGGAGAAGCAAAAACTTACTTGAGTTCTGATGCAGTGTGTAAATCTGATTCAAACGTAGACTTCTTGACGGACATGCATTCTCCTGAGTTTTTGAATAACATACGAGCTTCTGGTGTGCCAAACCATGAGTTGAAGTTAAAAATTGGAACACCAATCATGTTGCTGAAGAAAATTGATCAATCTTCAGGTTTGTGCAATGGGACCAGGTCAATTGTTACTCGACTGGGCAATCATCTTATTCAAGTTACGGTGCTTATGGGGAAAAATATTGGACAAGAAGTTGTTATCCCACAGTTGTTGCTTACACCGTCAGATACCAGGATTTCTTTTATGTTTCAAAGGAAACAATTCCCAGTAATGATTTCATATGCAATGACAATTAATAAAAGTCAAGGGCAATCATTGTCGCATGTTGGGCTTTTATTGAAGAAGTCAGTTTTCAGCCATGGCCAGCTTTATGTAGTGCTTTCACGTGTCACAAATCGCAGATGTTTAAAGATCTTGATATGCAATGAAGACCCAGATAAGATGAACCAAACCGCCAATGTAGTTTACAAAGAAGTTTTCCAAAACTTATAATGTAATAGTTTCACAATCTATATCATTCATATTTCCTACACTTAAATATTTCATTCTATAGTCTTATGTTAATTTAATCATATCGAATTCCAACGACAATACTTTCACTCATTATTTAGCTTTTAATTGGGCCGTGCAACGCACGGGTTCGAGTCTGGTAGAGTACAATGTAATACGGAGTATTTATTTAATCCGTAATTAATTATCAAAATTTGTTCAATTTGAAAAAAAAATAAACTAAACAAACAAAATGATTCAAATTTCTTCAAAAGAAGAGAAAAACACATAGGAAAAGAAACACATAAACAGACTAAGAGCTTATTCTCTACAAGTTTTTCTTATTATTATTACTCCGTACAATTTATTTTTATTGAAATCAGATCAGATCAAACTAGATCAGAAACCACTCTAAATTAAACTACATTCATATCAAAATCGGACCTTAATAAAATCAAATCAGATTCAAAAAGAGAACAAGATCTAGGCCATTTAAGGGGCTGTTTGTTTCAGCCTCTTAATGGTTCAGATGTCTGAATGGTTCAGCACTTAATGGTTCAAACTGTTTGTTTCAGCCTCTTAATGATTCAGATGTCTGAATGGTTAAGAGATTTGCCTCTGAATGGTTAAGTATTATACAGAGTCTGAATGGTTAAAACCTCTTATCTGAATTGATCAGACATTTGTCTCTGAATAATTAAGCAATATACTAGGTCTTAATGGTTCAGACCTCTTACTGGTTCAGCACTTAATGGTTCAGACCTCTTACTGGTTTAGCACTTACCCATTCAGAAGTTGTCAAACAGCCCCTAAGTCCAAAGCACACAAGCACAAACTGGAAGGCACACTTGTAAAATTAAATAAAATTATGTTGGCAAAGAAGCATAGGACTTAAATATCTGAATGGGAGAATTGATTTATAGGGTCAACAACGGACTTCATAAGAAAACCAAACATAAGAAACCCAAACACAGACACAGTAGTAAAAGAAAGAACATCACCAGAAATACTGTTATCAAGCGGATCGAAAAACAAACACTTTTAGCTATACAGGTCGTCTTCATCAGCTGCCGCTGCTGTAGAAGTTGCAAACGGGTCAGAGCCGGCGGTGGCACCACCGACACTCCTCCCGGGCTCGGCAAACCGGAACTCTGTTCCAAAGCCACGGGACTGCTGCAACGTTTGGGCAAACGCCTGGTATTTGCGTATGTCAGCGTCACTCACACTCCTGCGAGCATACTTCATTGATTCCTCGAAATGTGCAGCCTTTATCTCTGCTACTTCATCCTCCTCCACGTCTTCATCCATGGAGTCCGGGTTCTCCCTCCTCCTCCTCTCCCTTTCTATATCCTGCAAAAGTACATACATACATACAATTTCAATCGTCTAGCAAACTTGTCAATCACGAATACCAATATGGAGTCCCAATACTAGTGTTGTACTATCAGGGTCTGTTTGGACTTTGGAGTGGATGGCTTGGTTTACATCTTGATAAATAAGCAGAAAGTTTCTCAAACTAATTTCAAGTTATTATTAAATCTTCGAAAGATATCAAGGCAGACGCATCCATCCAAACAGAACCTAAAGCACTAGCCGCTAGGCAGCCATGGGTGCGGTCCAGACTTCAGAGAAGAAATCTGATTCTCCAATGTTCGGGAAAAGCATAGGGTACAAAACCCAGGTATCCCCCACAAAAAAAGTAGGGAGGAAAGGGAATTTAGCGCTAAAACGGGGACTAGGAAGTTTAAACCAAGAATTTAAAAAAATGAGAGGGACTTACTTTCTCAATGTTCTCACGAATGGCATATTTGCAGGCCCTCTGGCAGATCTCAGTTATATCGGCCCCACTAAATCCTTGGGTGTATTTTGCAAGAGCTCTTAGATCAACATCTTTGGAGACCGGAGATTTTCTTAGACAGGCTTTGAAAATCTGATGCCGTGAATCCTCATCTGGCAGAGGGATATAGATCAATTGATCGAGTCTACCAGGACGGAGGAGTGCAGGGTCAATAATATCAGGTCTGTTTGTAGCTCCGATAATGAAAACAGTCTTCTTTGCTGTCATGCCATCCATTTCTGTCAGAAGTTGATTAAGAACCCGATCAGCAGCACCACCCGCATCTCCAACACTGCTTCCCCTCTTCAACAATACCATACCACCAAGAAGCACTTATGAGTATTGCTATATCATGTTGTCACTTAACTTTAGAAATACATATGAATACTCTCTCAGCCTCTATCTCAAAAAGTGTCGTGTTTCAAGAATTGTTGTCATCCCAAAAAAATACTTTAAAATGTCAATTTCGTTTTTACGTATTTTCATTTACAAGTAAAACTCTCAGTAAAGTCAAGCTACCATTAAGGGTACACGCATAGTTTGTAAGGCGGCAAGGCGAGGCGCCAATGTACCTGCATATCGCCTAGGCGACGACTAGGCAATATACATACATACCTATATATATATATATATATATATATATATATATATATATAGTAAATTTAGATCATCAATTGTTATAATTGAGATGCAAGTAGTTCATCCCACTAAAATCACCATTTAGTATCAAGCTTTACTAAGGCATTATAAAATGTTGTGAATGACCCCAGAAACCCTCAAACATAGTATTCAACAGTGTACACAGTTACTCCGAAGGGACAACTTATATCTAAATTATGAGAATTGAAAATAAATTTACGAAGATAGAAAGATAGATGCTGCAACCTATGTTACATAATATCAAAAAATCAGGGACAAGTGTTGTTTTCCCTGGCTACTGACTACTGTCTCTTACTCTCTTTCCCTTCGTCTAATACTCCGTATATAATAAGCACCTAAATTGAATCAATTAATGCTAAGACAGCCTTTGGTAGTTCACAAATCAAAACTTTATATATGAAGTAACTACAAATGAACTGTGAGGAAGCAACCATGCATTTGATCTGCATGTAAAATCATATTGCACAGTTTTGTTATATATGCACTTTGAATTGCACACACACACACACACATATATATACACTTTGAATTGCATCCAAAATGCAGAGCAACTGTCCCTGTACGTTTTACTGTGAAAGGTATTTTGAAACCCTCCCCCTTGTAAAATGTGTTACATGGCACAATGCAAATATATTTAAAAATATACCCCACTTTACATGCAAAATGTTTAGTTCAAATCAAACAAAATACCCTCTAAAATCACTCAACATATTACATATCTCGATTCTATTAAACTTGAAAATGTCTTAAAATAGAAAGAGAGATACCTGAGTGGCAATAGAGTCCAGCTCATCAAAGAAGAGAACACATGGAGCTGAGCCTCTTGCCTTGTCAAAAATTTCACGAACATTGGCCTCACTTTCTCCAAACCACATGGTGAGCAATTCAGGCCCTTTGACACTGATGAAGTTGGCTTGACACTCATTAGCAATTGCCTTGGCCAGTAAGGTTTTCCCGCATCCAGGGGGGCCATAGAAAAGAACACCTTTTGAGGGTGACATGCCAAATTTTTCAAATTTCTCTGGGTGTTCAACAGGATATTGTACCGTCTAAAAAGAGAACCGGAGATTAGTACAATGACCAAGAGAAAACAAAGAGGATGTGCAAAACATTTAAAATACAAGGTAATGTTGGGATTGAGGGGTTGGAGCTAGGGTTGTAAATGAAGCAAATAACTTTTTCCTTTGTACTAAATTGTATTCGAAGAAATCAAAGCCCAACACAAATACTAGTATTTGCAATTCGTTACATTAACAACGAATATGAATACCCCATAGCACATAACTATTCGATTCAGTAAATATTTAATTATAATTGAATATTTATATTATCAAAATATTCAATAAATAAAATATTTATACTTAACATTAGATGTAAAGGATGATAAAAAATAAAATGGAAAAATTATCCGTTTTAAAAATCAAGAATCTAACCACCCAAATTACTATTTCATTAATCTAAATATTCTTCTAAAATGCCACATTTATTAGTTTTTTTAATCAAATATTAAAAAATAATTTGGAAATAAAACTTTTCCCAAATTCGAATACTTTTAAATGAACCAAATATATCTCATTTCTTAATTGAATCGAATAAAAATATCAAAAAAATTAAACCGAATACAAATCCTAATACGAATAAAAATCTGAGGGTGAATAATAATTGTTAATATTCTACTAGTATTTGATTCATTTACAACAATAGTTGGAGCATTGGATGGCATAGCCTAAATCTTCATGAATAGAGGATATGTAAAGATTTAGACTAAGCCTTTCTTTCAATGTCTTCCCCTCCAAAACCTTCCATCCAAACAGACACGAAAGGACCATTTCTAATTACCTCTTGAAGCTCTCGCTTAACATTCTCAAGCCCTCCAATGTCTTCCCAGCTGACATTGGGCACCTCTACAACCTGCAGGCAAACAGAAATATTGGAAGTGATCCTCCAAAATCATATGAATTATGAAGGACACCATGCCAAAAAATAAACATTTTCAAGTCACTTACAGTCTCACGCAAAGCAGAGGGATTGCTTGTTCCAAGAGCAGTGTGGAAGTGATCATTGGTAACCGCCATAGAATTCAAAACTTCAGCATCAATTGTTTCATCCTCGAGATCTATGACATCCATCTTTTCTCTGATGCACTGAAGTGCAGCTTCAGTGCAGAGAGCTGCAAGGTCAGCACCAACATAACCATGTGTGTCTTTGGCAATTTTCTCCAGATCAACCTACATCATTAGAGTAACCATTTTTAAGTCCACTCAAAATTCATGGAAAAAAAAAAGTAAAGCAATGATGGGGTCATACATCCTCAGAGAGTTTCATATTCTTAGTGTGAATGCGTAGAACTTCGAGACGGCCAACTTCATCTGGAACACCTATGTCTATTTCCCTGTCAAACCTGCCAAACCTCCTAAGAGCAGGATCAATACTGTTGGGACGATTTGTAGCTCCCATAACAATTACATGAGCACGGGACTTCAATCCATCCATAAGAGTTAAAAGTTGAGAGACAATTCTTCTTTCAACTTCACCATGTGTCTTCTCCCGTTTGGGAGCGATTGAATCAATTTCATCAATGAATATAATAGATGGAGCATTCTTTTCAGCCTCTTCAAAAGCTTTTCTGAGATTGCTTTCACTCTCTCCAGCTAACTTGGACATAATTTCTGGTCCATTGATACAAAAGAAAAATGCCCCTGTTTCGTTGGCAACAGCTCTTGCAATCAGTGTCTTCCCAGAACCCGGAGGACCGTAAAGCAAAATACCCTTTGGTGGTTTAACACCAATGGATTTGAAAAGTTGAGGGTGCCTCAGTGGAAGCTCTACTAATTCACGAATCTGAGCCATTTGTTTCCTAACGCCACCAACATCATCATACCCAATTTCATCAAGCCTGTCCTCATCCTCCCTCCTCACTGGCTCCCCCTCACAGAAGATTTCTGTATCAGGAGCAACAACACAATACTCACTTGGATCTGTCTCAATGACCTTGAATTCCACACTTCGCATGCCTCCTCGAACAAGGAAATGGTCTCCTTTCCTCACAGGACGGTATGCCTCCAAAAAGTAAGCTACAAGAAATATGTTTGTCATTATTAAATGAGCAGGTATTTCTTAAAATCTCAACCCAAATGTGATGTCTATGAAATATAGAAAAAGATAAACATATGCAACACAATCACTAAAAGGGGCAAGATACAGTTATGAAGACCAAATCTCAAACAAAATGTGTGTCTATGAAATCTATATAAAACAAAATGCAACACAAGCAATAAAAGGGAAAAATAGAGTATGAAAATTAAAAACTCTTCACCAAAATTGTCCTTCATAATTGGAAATATACCTTTTTCAACAACAAAAACCTAATGTAAGAAATATTTTTTCAAATAGGATATTAGCCACTAACTATGAATTTAAAATATAATAAATGAAATTTCTACTTCCAAACTAAAAATGTAACTACTACCTACCTGAAAAGTGTCATCAGTTCATCACAAGCATGGTGATAGGACTGATAGTAGATGACCAATTTGAATTCTAAATTAAAATATGGCACTGGCACTTGGGAAATAAGCATCTAGACTAAACTCCCCGTACTAAAGCACACCCAAAACATTAAACATTGGAAATGCAGGTACTTGCTAGGATTAGTTGCATACTTACGCTTCAAGTACGATTCAAAAAGATCACCAGTTATCCCTTCAATTGTATCATCTATAGGAAGTATGTGCACCCGCTTCCCGTACTTGACATCAGGACATTGGTGTACAGACACAACATCAGCAAGACGAATTCTCAAATTTGACCGAACAACTTTATTCATCCTTATCTTTGCCTCTTCACAATTCTCATCAGCCAGTGCTATTACCACAGTGTCTTTCCTCTTTTTCCCCTGTTAAGTGATAGAATGTATTGTAAGTTCCCAAGATAATACGCAAACAACCAATATACTCCGTGTAGCAAAACAACACATGAATAAGTTCAGCAAATTAATTTATGGTGGTGTATAGTATACTGCAAAAGTTGTGTTAGAATAACTTTAAACTATTCCACTTAGTTTTACATGTCACAACTCAAAACATTCCCATGGTAGGATTACACTCTTTTAAATGTACATATCTTGTAAAACCCCATTAAGGCATTAATCATGCATAAACAAGCTGTAAAATCATTGAATGGCACTAGTTAAAAGGAACAAAATGCTGGGACAAGCTTAAACATAAGGTAGAAATTCCAACCCCAACTCGACCAAATGTAACAATCATTCTCAAAGCAAGGAGATTATCATGCTTAACCAAGTGCATGTGACACAACAATGAGACAGTTGTTTGATAGCTTCAACTCAATACACTTGCCAAGCGGCCAAGCCATTGAAAATGTTCCCAAAAAAAGAACATACAGCAGAAGGAAATTGTTTGGGTTTTCAGTATTTAATACCTAAAATTACTCTAGATGTCAACCAGGGTTGAAACCGTATAACCTATATTGAAATCCCAGAATTCATTGCCTAATCTCCAGTAAAGCACACATTACTTGAAACCCTATATTACCTTCCATGAATCTATAGCTTATGATGATTTTACCGGCTTAAAACATTAATAAGGTGTAATATTATAAATCAGTCAACAGGCACACACGCACAGAAAATTATTAAATCTGCCAAAAAGGTAGTGTGTTGGACTAAAAAATTCTAGGGCATGCAATAGAATTGAACAACTCTAATTTTTCATAAACAGCTGCAAATCACACTGGTTGAACAGACAGTGAGTGAAATTTAATCCGGAAAAAGATGTTACCTTGATCAGAACCGTGTCTCCGCGGAAGAGTTGGAGCTTCTCCATTGTGGCAGGGTGGAGAGCAACAACAGAGTTATCATCGCTGACAGCCTCATCGACGATGAGCCGATTCGGCGCCTTCTTCCGCTCCAGAATCGCAGTGGAGAAGTCCTTCTTAGCATTTTTCCTAAAAGAACAGAAAGAGAGACAATCGCATCAGAAAATCGCAGTAAAACAACGATTGCTTCGAAGTTACAGTGCCTTCGAAGCATCGATTAAGCTGACACGTGAAGAAGAAGAACTTACGAGTCAGATGACTCGGTTTGGTGACTCATTTCCGATCTAGCTGAGAACGACGGTGGAAAATTAGATACGTCGGTGAAGAAGAAAACCTGCTTGCGATGAAATGAAAGTATCGATCCAAGGAATTAAATACGAACGGAAAAGGTTACTCCTTCGATGTTAAGTTCCCAAGGAAAAATACTCAGCAGTCCTCACTCCCAAATTAAATTTTTCATTTGTTTTTCCAAAGAATTAAGAAAAAATTAAAATTATTGATTTGAGATTTAGGGGTGTTTGTTTTTTGGCCAGAAGAGCTTCTGGCCTCTTTTGTCTGCGCCGCGCAGATGCTTCACTTAAAAAGATCTTCTTGGCATCTTTTTAGAGAAGACATCAACCTATGTCTTCTAACATCTTCTCCATTTTCTTCTTCTACTTCTCTTCACCACCACCACCGTCCACCACCATCACCACCGNCGCCGTCAACGTCCACCACCACCCTTCATCACCACCCTCCACCACCACCACAATCGTTCGTACACTAACCACCGTACACTACCACCATTAATTTATATAGCAGTCTACAGACATTAAAAAAACAAACAGTCTTCTTCTTGCAGACCGCAGACCTTCGATCCACCACTTCTCATGTGGATATCTACAGTAGTGGTCCGCAAACTACAGACCTTTTCCTGCAGAAAAACAAACACCCCCTTATGCAAAACGTAGAGAAATTCTTAAAAAAAATATTATTTCTCGGCACATGTGGTTCATGAAACACATTTATCCATAAATCATAATGAACGTATTGTAGATTTTGATCATTGAAAAAAAGGGGAAGAAAAATAAGGCACAAAATAACTCTTTTTTATATATGCGGTTAAACATTTTCAATTATAAATATGCTCCAGTACCACTTGTAAAATATCGAGCGGTACCAATCTTTTAATATACAAAAGCAAATAGAAAATATGAATAGTGCATTTTCCTTCCAAAGACTTCGGGTTTGGGTTTGGGTGAAGAAACTACTGATCAACAGGTACGGACAGTGATGGGTCAAAAAACGGGTAACTTTTTGAGAAACTGCAAAGACATTATGACCTTGGCATAAGCGGTTTTTAAGAGGTTAGGTTTTGCTTTTTTCCGATGAAACCAATAAGTGTCTATATGGACTGGTACATTAAATCACGCTAGGGAAGAGCAACAGTCGTGATGTGAAATAATACATGATTCGGTCCACATTTCCCATTTATTTATGAAGAATAACCAAACTGATATTTTAATAAAATGGAGGAATAAAAGAATATTCTCTCAAAGATGTTCAAGTTCCTCCTATAAAAGGAGAACAATCCTTACAAGTGATAAGGGGGAGACCATTTTTTCCTTCTATACTCCATGCCCACTTCTCTCTCTAGAAAATTTTGTACTGTATTTTCTCTTTCTCTAAGAGCTCAAATGCTCCATTAATGACTTCTAAACTTAAAGAATGTACTGTGTACAAACCCTCAATATTAATAAAAATCCTATGTTGGCAAGGTACCACCAAAAAAGGCTCGTGGTTTTTTCCCAATTGGATTTCCACGTCAAAATCTCTATATTTTGTATTTTGGTGTATTTTGTTAGACTAGTTTATCGTTCTTGCCCGGCTAAGAATGATATTCCGGTCGAAATAATTTACATCATCATTTTGGCACCGAATGTGGGACCTGTTGCTATGGGTGTGAGGATTGTTCAGCACGAGGGCGTGGTCACTCCGTTTTTCAGCATCACTGCCACTGTCCTCCGGCAGACGTTATATTGTACAAAACAATATAGGACGGAGTCTCGTAAAAATATAATTTTTACGAAAATCAATATTTTAGTTTTACAAAATGAATTTCCATACATGAAACTACATAGTTATAAGTTAGATAAAAACTTTATAACAGATTTTATCCAAACTACTAAGATACGAAATATATTCAATTTAACGACATACACCCGGGTCTCCGAATGTAGCCCTGAGAAATACTGCCTTTTGGGCATCATTCTCGCAACCTTGACCGTTGGTTCTGTATACGTATACGATGAGCGGTGATAGGGGTCTCCTACCGTTGCTCCGAAATACAAGTTTACGATGATCTCAAGTTGTTCAAACTTATGATAATATAAAAGTTTGAATATTATTCCCTACATATCAAATCATTTTTATAAACCAATATTTTTATAATAAATCACTTTTAAAAGTGTATAAAATATTAATTTGAGAATAAAATACTACCTTGTATATTTTTTAAAATAACTTTTTATCATACAAAGAGTGTTTTTTAAAGGATTTTTACAAATATAGTAGTTTGAACGGGAAGTCCGTGCAATACAATTTTGTACATACCTCGAGTTCGAGAGAGAAAGTGAAACGGAGTTGTTGAAGACTAGTAAGGAACCGAGACTCTAGAGGTGTTATCGAGCTTTACCGAAGAACAAAAAATAGAAAAATGTGTCTCAATAACTTGAAGAACACTTTTAAAAAAATGCAGAATTTTCGGGAGAGTTTTATTACCTTAAACGGGCTCTAAACGAACTCTTGTTGGCTCTAACTTCTTCTAGTCTTTTGGGAAAAGATTTGGTAGTGTATTGGGAGTAAAATAACTTAATATTATTATGGATATATAGAGTATAAAGAAGAGAAAAGTTGCTGCAATTTTAAGAAGAAAGAATGGAGAAAAATGAATGAGTTTGGGTGGTATTTATATGTAAAAACTTGTACAAACAACTAATAAAAATTACATCAACTTGATCATGATAATTTAGATTATTTTTGGAGGATTCTAACATCATAAAATCAGGATCATATCAAAAAAAATCAAGAGAAGTGTAAAACTCTTCAAATATGTCATCAATATCCTTTAAAAATATTTTAGAATATTTGATGATGTTTGGGTTGATATGGAGTAATTTAATGTGTTTAAGTAACTAAAAAGACTCCAAAATATCTTAGAAATATATCCCAATAGGTTTGAATAACAAATTGATTAGGGAAGAGTTTAGATATTTTTTTGAAATAATAAGATGTAAAATCCGAAATGCTACTGTGATGATATTGCTAATGCATGTCAAGCTGGGAAGAGAAAGAAAAAAAGTAGCAAGCAGAGGTGAAGGGGTTCACTCAGCAATATCAATTCTGCTCTACTACAACAAATTTCAATCACTATAATTGATTTGTTACGTATTTATTCTGTCTTTTTACAGCTTTGGCCCAATTCTATTGCTTGGCCCAATACTAAATAAAGTTGAATCCAATTTCAATTAATATTCCTAAACAATTTTTATAATAATAAAAAAAATTAACTTTGATTCCAATCATATTTTATTATTTTCGGATTATCAAATTAATTTATTTAAATTGAATTTATTTTTTAAATTATTTTTAACTACGGTGGGGTTCTAGTGACACCGGAGTACGGTGCCACTCCGGTGCCACTGGTATTTTGGGGCACCTCCGGTGCTCCGTTCGCAAAATTGACGGTTCCTACCCCCCCTAACCCACCCCCTAAACCCTCCACCCTACCCCCGCCCCTGCACCCCCACCCCCACCCCGCCGTAAGCCCCCCCACAAAATGTGTGGCTATTATGCGTTGAACGAGCTTTTGGGATATTGAAGAAAAGATTTGTTATCCTATCCAATGGAAAAGAGCCTACATATAGGATAAAAGTACAAAAAATGATAATATATGCATGCATCATTCTTCATAACTTTCTTATGAGTGTTGACCCTAATGATGAAATATTGAGAGAAGTTGATATGGAGCTTCTTAACCAAGATGCTTCGAATGAAACAAATCATGCTTCGAGTAGTCGGAATAATGATGCATCAGAAGGTGAAGTTATTAGAGAGTACATAGCGACTCAAATGTGGATCGATTACCAGAATAACAAGGCCGCTATTGAGAATGAGCTTGATGCTTAAGGTTGAATTGTATTCAAGAAATGATTTTAGACATCTCATTTGCTTTTATCATATCATATGTTTGACAATGAGCTCTATGTTTATTTTTATATTGCTTGTTTGATTTTATACTACTTGTGATTTCATATTACTTAGATTGGTTTGCATGCATTTGCCTTGTATCTAGCTTGGTCTAAAAGTGCACCCTTGTAAATAACTTTGTCTTGTTACATGTTATACTATTATATAATGTGATAGGATGGCACCATAAAAATGTAAGGACACCGTCACCTGGACGCCAAGCATGGATGATGCCTTGATTGATGCTTACATGGTTGAATATAATGAGGGTCGCAAAGTTAATGGCACCTTTTCATCTTTAGCTTATTATAATATCGTGAAATATGTTAGTTCAATATTTGGTAAGCAAATTGATAAAGAAAAAGGTGAAGAATTGATGGAAGTGTAATACCCTGATTTGAAAATAAATGGATTGAGGAAAGAAAATGCTCAAAAGGATTGATAGTACTACTCATACCAACAAGGTGCATCTTCTTTTCGAGAGCTCAACAATTAGAAACTCCAAAGTTAAGCGTGCTTGACTTGGAGCAATTTTAGGATGGGTGACCCCCTGGGCACTCACGAGTGAGGATAAAGTGCGCGGGAAAATTTGTGTTGGTTTGTGGAGCCAGTCTACAATCATATAAGTGGACGCTTACGGCCAGGGTGGGGGTGGGGTGTTACAAATGGTATCAGAGCAACCCTACAACCATGACGGGCCAACGAGCTTAGTTCACATAGCGGGGAAGATCTAGGGGTTTTAAAAAACGAAGGATGCAACGAGGACGTTGCATTCCTAAGTGGAGGTGAATGTAATACCCTAATTTGAAAATAAATGGGTTGGGGAAAGAAAAGGCTTAAAAGAATTGATAATACTACTAATACCAACGAGTGCATCTTCTTTTCGAGAGCTCATCAATTAAAAACTCCAAAGTTAAGTGTGCTTGACTTTGAGCAATTTTAGGATGGGTGACACCCTGGGAAATTCCTTGGGCTCACACGAGCGAGGGTAAAGTGCACGAGAAAGACTTGTGTTGATTTGTGGGGCCAGTCTACAATCTTATGAGCGGACGCTTACAGCCAAGGTGGGGGTCGGGGTGTTACAGGATGGCTTTGAAAAATAACTTCGCTGATGTCTATGATGTTTTCAAGAATTTGAGTGGATTCGCATGGAATCCAACAACTCATTTCTCGGATGCTGAGCCTGAAGTTTGGGATGCATTGATTAAGGTATTTTACCTCAATTTACACTCTTAATATGTTAAAAAAAATATATCCTTTTGTGATTATTGCATTTTTATCTTATCAGGCTGAACCTAAAGCAGCTGACTAGAGAAACACTCCTTTTCCAAACTTTGAAAAGATGATGATATTATACGGAGTAAATAAAGCTAATGGAGATGAGGGGGAGACAATGCAAGAGTGGAAGAAGAGGTGTTGTTCTTCAGGAGATGGTATGAGGACTATTAAAGATATTGGTCTTAATAGTGACATATTTCTTGAAGATTACTCACCTAGGCAAAGAGCTTCACCTGAAGACGGTCATTCTAGTCATGTTAACAGTGCTTGCAGCAAGAAGCTAAAAAGGCACCTCGAGAACCTGAAAGCTTCAAATAATTGACAGGTGCAATTTATGCAATGGTGGCATCACTAGATACAGGTAATGAAGCAATTATACAAGGAAATTTGGTTTTAGAGAGAGCTTCGAACAACAAGAGAGAAGTGCCTCAATTATCTAGTGAAGAACTATGTAAAATACTCAAAGAATGTGGGTGTGATGCTAACAAAATACCAGACATATATTGCTTCCTCGTGAGTGATGAGGAAAAGCTTAGAACTGCAGTTCAATCTCCGGTCTAAATTAGGAAGCATGTGATAATGAAGATGTATGTATTATGCTTCGTTGTAACACGCCATTCTATTTTGATATACTTCCAAATATTTTTAGATATGCTCAAAATACATGGTTATATGTTTTTATATTTTTTTGCATGTTATTAGATATTAGAGCAGGAATAGATTTTTTAGTGACAATCCCATTTTTGCAATGAATTTGATTTTATTTTTTCTCATATTCATATTTAGGATAATGTTTTATTTACATTTTATATTACAATTATATTCGAATTATGTTTGTTAAAATTATGGATGTGATGTGTTAAATTCATTTTATTCCTTCATCTCCTCTCTCTCCAACCAATGAAACCTTTCCTTCCTTTTCCTCAACCAAACAAAGTAAATGAAATCCTTCCCTTCCCTCCCAATTCCTTTTCATCCCTCCCCTCCCCTTCCCTTTCCCTCCAACCAAACACAGTCGTAGGACAGTGGAAATACCTTTTTTCAAAATCTAATATTTTCGAGTCGAGACTCATGTAAAAAACAGGTCATGTCAGTTTTTCTAGGATCTAGGTTTGACGGATTCACTATTACGCAGTACTACAATTTTTAAAGAAGTGTGCTAGGTCTAAGGGTACACCAAATTTGTATCCAACTTGCTCATCTCCCCTAATTATATACTCCGTAAGCCTCAAAAATGTTAAGTCTTGTCTTTTTTCCGTTAAATATTTGCCCGCCGTTAGGATTTCACGCCACGTCGGTTAATAGTCTTTTCCTTGCCATTTAAGGCTTAAGCACGTTCACACCTTGTAGTGCAAATTTCAGTGTCACACTTGGCACTTACCGACAATCAATTTCAGTTTAAGGAAAATTATATTTGTACTCCAAGAATTTGTACCTATTTTGTACATCGCATGAATGAACTAACATTTTGTGTTGGTTCAATGCTAACTTTTGTTAACGCAGTAACGCTTGTGTCAGTGTAAATTTTTATTAACGCATCAACATTTTGTATGAGTGTGAACCATCAAATGTTGGTCCATCAGATGTTGGTGCACACATTTGATGTACAAATAGGATACATGTAGCATGCTCCAAAATTTAAAGCTTTTTGTTATGATCAGAGTATGATGGGTTTTACTTGGTATACTCTTACATGTCGTCATGCATGTATACGGGATTTGTTTTTTGCTCGAGCTATACATGTGAAAATTAATTTTTTAAAACGGGATGATGATGGGGTTTGAACTCGTGACTTCTTCGTCAAAAAAATTTAGATATAATGTAACGAAACTAACTTAAACAAAAACTCAAAATTGTCTTTGTTGGCCCATGATAGATTTTATATACTCCATTAGAGAGATTCAGATGTAATTGATGCTCTCTTTGTACCACAAAACCTTTTTTATTTTGATTTTAAAGGATAGAAGGGGAGTTTATTTAATGGTTTTATAGTTACTTGGAATGGAGTCTCTGTGGATGGCTTCTTCTTTTAGCTGACCTTTGCATGTGATAGTTTGGTTAATTATGATTGTAGTAAGTTGGCGGATTGACGTATGTACGCCAACACTTATACTCTTGTAATAAAAAAAGTGTGAAATTAATGTAATGTGGTGCTCTCGGTGAATAAAGTACACTGATGATGTATTAAGGCTCTATTTTTTCATTTAAAATTTTAAAGTTGGATATTAGAAGAAGATAGAAGAAATTTGAAGAAACTGGAAAAAAGGTAAAAGAAACTTGAATGAATTGAAAAAAAACTAGAAGTTAGAAATTGTTGGAAAAAATTAAAGTGGTTAAAAATTACTCAATTAAATGATCACTCAAACATGAATATAAAAAACAATTCAACTTTATCCGTATTTGAGGTGTTATGTAATAAATTTGGATATACTTTAAGGTATAATGTTATTGTATAGTCATTATATGTAAATACATTTTTTAAATTATTGAAAAAAACTCAAAGAATTTGAAAAATAATGAAAAAAATTAGAAATAACTAGAATTAAAAAGGTTAAAAAGAGTATATATATATCCGCCACCGTTAAATGACCCAAATCCATATACATTCCTCAGGATTCAGGAAATAAGAAATCTAGCCCTTTTAGTTTATGTTCACTGATTTCATGAGAAAAAAATACTCAATTATAAATGTTGGGTACCAATCGTGCGTAGCGCGTCGCAGGCTAGTTACATGTATAAGAGAAAATAATTGTCTATGTATCCAAATTTGGTCTTCCTCTACTTTTTTCCCTTATTTAAACACAAGGAGTTTGCATCCAATATTTTTTCAAAAAAAAAAATAAATTAAATTAAGCGTTCTTTTTTTTTTGCACACAAAAGAGAAGGGAACATAAGAATTATGAACTACACTTACACCAAAAATTGTACCTTATTTGTACCTCGCAGTTATATACAAACATTTTGATGGTTTACATCGACACAAGTGTTGGTGCGTTAAGAAAAATTTATAACGGATATAAAGTGTTGGTGCATTAATAAAAATTAATTTTACACTAATAAAAAATGTTAGTGCAAACTTACAAGGTATAAAATGGAGTACAAAAACTTTGGGAGAAGAATTAAAGACAAGAGATAAAGGAACAAAATCTGGGTTTAAATAAAAAACAATAAAGAAAAAGGGACAACCGGAAAACGCGGGTTTGTACCTTGGATGTCTCTCTCATTCGCACTCCATGCTTCAGCCAGCAGCTTTGTCACTGTTTTATGGGGTTCTCTGCTCTTTCATAGATTTTCAGATCCGGGTGAGTTCACAATCTATCGGAACCCTTATCTCTTAGCTCTACTGTTGTTAATGGCTTATCATTTCTTGGACAATGAATGATTCTTGCAAGTTTTTTTTCTTCAAGGTGTTCTAATTTCATGTATTGAAGAGGCATGGCCTTATTCCTGTTTATATTAAAAAAAATTAAGTTCCTAAATTTTCTTTCTATTTTTCTTTGTATATATGAGCTTTTGAGATTTATCTGCACCTGTGAAATGGAACTGTAATGTGGAATATAAAAGTTTGAGTCTTTGTAAGCTTTTTATTTTCTCAAATGTTCTATTATTTCTGGGTAATGGCTATTTTAGTAAAAATAGAGTTGGGAAAGCTAATATTTTTTTTTCTGTTACTTAATTTGTATGTCGTGATTTATGTCCAAATGTTCTGCAGGAGTTAAATTGCTGAACTATGAGGTGCTGAAGAAATTTTCCTAAAATAATTGAGTGACAAAGTGAAGAATTTTGAAACAGATGGAAGAAATACAATCCCACTCTGATCATTATAGGTCTTCATCATCTTCGGCAAGTAGTCCTGCTAGTAGGGTACCCTCAAGCAATTTCTTTTACCTAAGGAAACCTGGAATACGTAGGCAACCAATATCATTTGAAGATTCACCAGAATGGGAAACTGATATTGAGGCGAAGGTGGAGGAAGGAGGTGGCCCTTCTATCAATGTCATGCCCACTCCGGCATCTGCATCCCTTTCGAAGGTCAACAGTGGTTCGGTGTCATCCCCACCTTTACCAGACAGAGGAGTGACAAGAAAGATTGCTGGGGCTTCGGTTGCATGGAAGGACTTGACTGTTACTATAAAGGGAAAAAGAGTATACTCTGATAAGGTGATCAAGAGCTCTAATGGTTATGCATTGCCAGGGACAATGACTGTGATAATGGGCCCTTCCAAGTCTGGGAAATCAACTCTCCTCAGGTCCCTTGCAGGTTTGTTGTATTTAAATGGTTACCATATTTAGAAAGCGCTTTTCTTTTACATACAATCTGTGTTTCTGTGACTTACCGTGTTTTTATTTTGTTAATCTGGTTTAGGACGGTTACCTGGTTCAGCCAGAGTGTATGGTGAGGTGCTTGTAAATGGTTCCAGGTCACGGTTTCCATATGGGTCCTATGTAAGACTTGACACTTACCTATGGATTTTGAATAATGATTTCCAGTGTTATCTATGTAAACTTTGTGTGTATACTGTATAGTTAAGACATGTGCCTAGATTCTTGAAATCCACCTGTCTTATGTACAACCTTTTACAATAATTAGATCAAAAGCATGTAATATAATAAAGATTGGGTTGACAATATTTACTATAACAAAGAAGCTTGCTTGTTAATCAATAATGTTCGCAAATGGTCCGTGACACTTTCAATTAATTGATAAATGATGGGTTTTCTAATGTGTTCCCATGGACACATAATAAAGAGCAATTAATGTGTTTCATTTTTGAAGAAAGGATTTGAAAATTGCAAGAATAAATGTTAATGTGAATTAGCAATTTGATATATGGAGTACATGTCACTATAATCTATACATTTTCATCGTTGTCAATGGTAATTTAAGAAAACTATAAGAATTAAATGCTCATTAATTGTTTCTTATCGCATGTTCCATCCCATGGGCACACATTAGGAAATACCCATAAACTTTTATGAAAAATGTGTAATGAAACAAACAAACTCGAAGAAATCATTTGTGCTCAGCTTGTTCACAACCTTAAATGAAATTGAATATCATTTCTGAAGTAGTCATTCTTTAAAAATTGGATTTTTGTGTGCATTTCTGGAAGTGACAATATCTGCCTCATTGACAATCCTACAATTGTCTCTGATAATTAGCAGGGATTCGTTGAGAGAGAAACGACACTTATAGGATCTTTGACAGTACGTGAGTTTCTATACTATTCGGCATTGCTTCAGCTACCTGGTTTCTTATGGAAGAAAAAGAGTGTTGTGGAGGAGGCCATCCATGCTATGTCACTGGGAGATTATGGTAGTAAACTCATAGGTGGTCACTGCAATATGAAGGGTCTTAGGAGCGGTGAGAGAAGGCGTGTCAGCATTGCCAGGGAACTTGTGATGAGACCACACATTTTATTCATAGACGAACCTCTTTATCATCTTGACAGGTTTACTTCTCATGCCCTATTCGTATCTATTTTCAACTTAGTTAATACTTAATTTAAAGCCTGATGGATGATGCAATAGAAACATAAGGCCTCGCTTGGTTGACTTTGATAAGTTCAGAATTGAATTACTGGGAATCAGATAAAGTTTGGAATTAAGATTATAAGAATTCATGACCACACGTATTTTAAAAATACAAACGTGGTTATCACACCCGATTCTACTCAAGATTTCCCTTAGTCTTAGAAATCTGAAGCCAATCCAAACAAGACTAAGAATTATGTTTGGTGGCTTTTTCGTTATTGATTTTTCTTTCTGATTATTTTTGAAAACAAAAAACTAGACTATGAAAAGTAGAAGTAGGTTTCAGTTTTTTGTTGGTAGTTTTTTGTACTACTACTACACTAGTGTTTTTTTTCTTTTGGCACATTGAATTTTATTTAATATATGAATAAAAATGTGTTAATGTGTCCAGTGTTTCTGCACTCCTGATGATGGTTACACTAAAGAAACTGGCAAGTACAGGTTGCACTCTGATATTCACCATTTACCAGAGCAGTACAGAAGTTTTTGGTCTCTTTGACAGAATATGCCTCCTTTCGAATGGAAACACACTTTTCTTTGGAGAAACACTGGCTTGCTTGCAGGTACTAACTATCAAGTCTTCACTCATTGTCAAATGTCATGCTTTTTTCTTTTAGTTTCCCTTTTTTAGTCGTTATTGATGAACAAGGGCTGACATTGTATTTCATTTGTGAAGCACTTCTCGGTTGCTGGATTTCCTTGCCCAATAATGCAAAGCCCTTCTGATCATTTCCTGCGTGCAATAAACACTGATTTTGACCGAATTATAGCAATGTGCAAAAATTGGCAGGTAAAACTGGTAGCTGTTAACCTTGTTTCGTGAGAGCAGTTTCATAATGCTGTATTATTACATTACAGGCACAAGGAAGTTTCATTGTTGTTAGAATATTAAAAAAAACTTTTCAGGGCCACAACCACAACTTGAGCTTTTGGTTGAGTTGAACCTTGACATGGTACGGAGCCTTGTTGACTAAGAGGTCACGGGTTCGAAACTCAGTGCTACCCAGCTTTCAGAATTTAAGGTTTCACGTGCAAGGCTTGAAAAAGATTACGCCTGCACGTGAGGCGGTGTGTTAGAATATAAAAAACCTTTGGTTGAGTTAATTCCTTGAAAGTTGTTCTTCGGGGGGCTAAGAAATCATTAATCTTTTCCCATGTTTTTCTGTTTCGAGACGTATGTATTGACATGTGGGCAGCCGGCAGCATGAGCATGGAGATTTATCATCTGTTAATATGGACACAGCTGTTGCAATATAGACCCTCAAAACCACATATAAAAAACCTTTCATGGGCCACAACCGCAAGCTTGAGCTTTTGGTTGAGTTGGTTCCTTGACAGTTGTTCTTCGGGGGGTTAAGAAATCATTAAGCTTTTCCCATAAATTCTGTTTTGAAACGTATTTATTGAAATGTGGGCAGGATGAGCATGGAGATTTATCATCTGTTAATATGGACACAGCTGTTGCAATACGGACCCTCGAAACCACATATAAGGCCTCGGCAGATGCTGCTGCAGTCGAAAATATGGTTATGGAGCTCTCTGAGAAGGTATTATCATAAAAAACTGTTTAGAGTTGTTTCTTCTTCTACTTTTGACTACAATAGTAAAAATTTCTATGGTACTTTGTTTTACAACTTTGCTAGTTTTGTTATTACAGGAAGGCCCGCCTCTAAAAAGTAAAGGGAAGGCCAATTTCGGGACCCAAATTGCCGTTTTGACTTGGAGATCTATATTGATCATGTCTAGGGACTGGAAATATTACTGGCTTAGGCTAATCCTATATATGCTTATGGCACTCTCTGTCGGCACTGTATTCTCTGGTTTGGGTCATTCCTTGTCCTCTGTTGCGGTAAGCAATGAGCTTGGAAAGGCATTGATTTCAGTTCTTTTTTCTTTAAATAATCTAATATTCATCTATTATGTGTATATAATAATAACAACAACAACAACAATAATAGTGTTTTGGTATATGCCTATATTAATTCCTCCGGCATTGATGAAATATAAAAGGAAGAATTGCTATATTGGTCCCTCAACAGTTTGCGGTTATGCAATAGAGTCACTCATTGAATTTTTGGTGCAATTTAGCCCCTCAATTATTTTAAAAAAGTTGTAAAATGAGTCCTCACATCCTAATTACAAAGTCATTCAACTTGAACACCTCTTATTGGTTCATATAAGCATGTATGTCCTTTTCTTTTTTTTCTTTTCAATAAATAATGTTAGCTGAAAACTTTGTAGATAGTTTAGAGAGTGAATTGAACCAAATTGACAATGAAAGACTACAATGTATAATCACACAATTGAGCGACCAAACTAGTGATTTTCCCAATATAACAATACAAACCAACGTATAAAACATGCGGTACTCATCCTATCTGGTTGAGCTTTTGAGATGGAACGGCAAATCTTTATAGATTGGCATTACAAATACTAGGTCCAAGTTTTGTCCTTGATAGACGAAGACAACCTTATTATTTCTCTGTTGCTGGCTCATTGCAGACAAGAGTTGCGGCTGTATTTGTGTTTATATCATTCACCTCTCTTCTGAGTATATCTGGAGTACCTTCACATACAAAAGAAATCCAGGTAATTTTTTTAAACTCCTCGTTTGAGTGTTATTGTTTGTAGGAAGCATGTTGTTCAGACACCACAACAACAACAAAGCCTTAATCCCCATTTAATGGGATCAGATATAGGACGAGTTTATTGCACCAACACCCCCTGTGGTTTTGTCAATGTGCACCCCTCATGATTTCAAAACTTACACCATTGGTCGTCATGGTTCTGATATTGCTACGTCAATGCCCCTCTGGACAAAAATATCCTTTAAATATTCGGTGCATAACTCTATTGCCCCCTATGGTATTGGAAATTGGTGCCAATGCCCCCTCTCCTTTTTCTTTATTGTTTTTCTTTTTCCTATTCTTTTCTCATAAAGAGAAAAAAGTGTGTTTGAAATAAAAAATGTAATAACAAATTTAACATATACTTCATTTGTCAAATTAAATATTTTTCAACTTCATCATTTAACAGAAATGTCATTGAGATCACCAATTTGGCTGGTATATAAATATTCATCAAATCATTTTTTCCGCCTATTCTTTATCTCTTCATCCTAAATTAGGATTCTTAGATCTTTATCCTTTATGAACTCACAAGCCAATTTTTTCTCTACTTAGAGTCATCTTGTATATGTGTCTCTTCTTCTTTCTCATGTAAACTGTTGTACACTTTTGACCTTGCACTTTTGACTTCCTCATGCCACAAGCTCACGTCATTTCCCATTGCAAATTTCCTTTAGGGTCCGTTTGGTATACGGAATTGACGGAATTGGAATTGAAATGGAATTGAGATTCCATGGAATTTAATTCCATAGAATTGAATTCTACCAATTTCAATTAATTTTTTACACTATCAATTCCAAATCCACATAATTTTTGTGCTACCAAACACTAAAATTGGAATTGAAGTCCTCATTTCCAATTCCATAGTTTGAATTCCGTGTACCAAACGGGACCTTATGATTTTTCTAGAACCTCAGTTGCTATCCCACAGATGCAGTGTTTCATCTTTATCCAAGTAAAATTTGCAATAGGAAGTAAACGAAGACTTCTTTTAACCCCCTTGATTTAATCAGATGATCCATGTGACCAACATTCTCCAATGAATTACTTCATGCCACTCTTCATGTGCCCATCAACTACATCATTCACAAACTTATGGCTAAGAATAAATCCCCAACTCCATTCATGTTCTTCTCTCGTCTAGAATACAAACGTTTTTAACCATTAGATTTGATCACTTTATTTTCAACTCACTTTATCTCTTGGAGAGACAAAGTGCTTTTTCTCCTCTGTAGTTGTTTCCACTCAATTCCATCAACTTCCGAGTTAAAGATCCTAATATTCAAGACTCTTAGTGCAATTGTGTATCATCATCAAGTGTCTAAGCCCTAGCAACCCTTGCATACTTATTACCACACTAGGGCCAAGGAAGTGTAGTCTGTTCAGCACAGTTCATATTCATAGATATGACTGGTAGTGTTAAGGGGTCAACCCAAAATAACCTTCCTTTATCAGAGGTTTTTACTGGCAAACTGCTCAGACACTTCCTTTTAGTGGGTTTACTATTCATCACTCCCTATGTCCCAGAATAATTTACCTATTTTGATATCACTAATCTTAAGAAAAATACTATCTAGAAGTGAAAATTGAGTGGTTAGAATTTGTTTAAAACCAAAAGTAGTTTCGACCACATATTCTTTTCCAAAAAGGAAAGAGACAAATTTGTTGAAAATATTTTGAGACGAATGAAAAAAGAAAGTGGGTAAATTATTCTGTGGCAGCGAGAGTATTATATATGTTTCTTACAATCAGATTACCGTTCCATCACTCACAAATTACTGCTAACCCAATTAAACTTTCCTTTTGTGTGGTAAAAACCTGCAGATATACAGCTGTGAACAATCAAACCAGCATTCCGGGGCTTTGGTTTTCCTGCTGGGGCAATTATTCGCCAGCATCCCGTTCTTGTTTCTCATATCCATCACATCAAGTCTTGTCTTTTACTTCCTTGTTGGTTTGCGGAACGAGTTCAGCTTGATGATGTATTTTGTGCTGAATTTCTTTGTGTGTCTCTTAGTAAACGAAGGTATGGTTATGGTTTTTGCTTCCCTCTTGAAAGACATCTTCTGGAGCATCACGTCGTTGGTGGCTGTACATGTAAGTGGCCTTCCCTATCTTTCTCGCTCTTAAGGCCCCGTTTGTTTCCATGAAAACAACTTTTAGGAAAGAGTTTATGCTCATTTTGGTCCTTTTGTGTGCATTTGTGAGTCAATTTGGTCCATGTATGCTGCCTCGAGTGAAATTAGTCCCTGTGTAGCTAAAGAATGTGAATCAGATTAGTCCATTTAACGAAATTTATCTAAAACGTTGAGTTAGCACATTAATTAATTGACTCAAGGGACTAGCACATGAAGTCATTGCCCTTGTGTCAATTAACGTGCTAGCTCAATGTTTTTGTAGCACCGTCAAGATAACTTAATAATGTTTTTTAGCTACAAGGTCTTAGAGAGATTCACGAGTACACTTACACTATGTTTGGTTCAAGAAATCTGAATGGGAAAAGAAAAGAAAATGAGATGGAAAATAATATTTCTTGTTTGGTTAGAGAAGAAGAAGAAAAGTGGGAGGAAAAGACAATGAGAAGACAAAATGAATTTTGGCGAGGAATATGAGAGAAAATCATTTTTTTCTGCTTCTTCATAATTCCTTGAACCAAACATAGGAGTATTAGATAGACCAAAATGAGTATTTTAACTCTCTTTTAGGAAAACATTTTCTTCACAAGTGCTTTGGTTTTTCAGGCAGTGATGATGCTCTCCGCGGGCTACTTCAGAATGAGAAGTGAGTTGCCCGGGGCTGTTTGGACGTACCCGATATCGTATATAGCGTTTCATACGTACTCAATCAAGGGAGTGTTGGAGAACGAGTATGTCGGGACATCCTTTGCTGTGGGGCCCGAGAGGAGCATATCGGGCGAAGACGCGATCCGGAATGTGTACAACATATCCGCGGACAACCACAACGCCAAATGGAATCATTTGTTGGTGTTGTTTCTTATGGCAGTTGGTTACCGTGTTTTTGCTTTTGTTGTACTGAAAATCTGTGGCCGGAAAAGGGTATCTGGGCATAGAGTTTCCCATGGTAACAAACATACAAACAATCCCTAACAGATGTATGGAGGCTTATACTCTCTGTGAATGAATTTTATTATAACAAAAATGTACTGTTGGTTGCATTTGTACATGTTTTGCCCTTATGTCTTCTCACCCCTCAAACTTCTTCATTGCATCTTTTTGAATGTAGATAACTAACTATATTTGCACATAATAAATAAAAAATAAAAATATGATGTTTCAAAATTATATTTTAGAATGAATCTAATGATACTTCATTAACATTATCGTGAATTGGTGATCACTTGTGAAATTAGTTTCAAGTTCGTAAATTTGACCTTAAAAAATCAAAGTAAAATGAGACAAAACCCTTGTTACTCCAGATGTTTTCTTAGAGCAACTCCAATAGTGAGAAGTATCTTGGAGAAATATGTCTCATTTACCTCGCCAAATGATCAAATTTACCTTCCCAAAATGTGTACTAATCCAATGGGAGGACTGAAAATTAAAAAGGCAAATTAAAGGTGTGTGTACATAAATGGTAAATTACAGAAAGTTAATGGTATGTATGATAAAAGTGGATTGCCAAGCAGCCAAAAATTTCAAGAAACTAGTTAAAGACATCTGTCTGCCTGTCTGGTCTTGTACCCTTCTTATAGATGAACAAAAAAAGCAATTCACATATGGCATTTAGCTTAAACATTTTTAGAAGTAATCCAAACCACCAAAAAATTCATCATAGTTCCATCACTAACTACAACTGTTGTTCCCAGAGGAACAGTACCCATATCGTCTCATCATCCTATATCACCAGCTAAACGCAAAATATCATTTCACAACAACAAAAAAGAACCCAAACAATGGAACGAACAAACCAAGTACTTTATATCCATTCAAAATTAGAGTATAGGGCACAAGTGCAAAAAGCAGACACCATAGGTTCCTTCAAAATGCAAGATAAAAATGCTACAAAATCCACCAACAATAACTAGTGATAATACAACTGGGCAAGCTTAGGAGTATAACCCAAAAAACTGGGATTTCACAGCCCCTATTCACACCCACCCAAATCACTCTGCTGCTTGAACTGACTGTCCTCACGTCGCTGGTCAGTCAGGCCTTCGGGATACACAAAAAAAAACATTGGTTTGATAATGCTAGGAAAAAGAACATAAACATCAGCCATGAATGATGGATACCACTACCTGCGTGTGTTTTGCTCTACGGTCCTCTACCCACCATGACAGCGGCCGGGAATCTAAGACACCAAGTGTGTGCTGGGGGAAGTAAAGAGGTATCATTTTTCCCCATCAATGGTTTGGTTAATCGCCCAACCCGGCCCTCCTTTTCAAGTGGTGCTTGAAATCCATGATGTCACCCTCCCATTTGGTAACTGTCCGGTTTTCACAAACCCATATCTCATGTGCGACCTGGTTAATCAGCCTAAAGTCATGGCTGACCAGAACCATCCCACCGTCCCACTCGTTCAAAGCCTCTGCCAGCGAGTCGATCGTCTCAATATCCAAATGGTTGGTTGGCTCATCGAGCAGCAGCATCTGTGGTTGTCTGAAAGCCAACCATGCAAATATCACCCGGCTACGTTGCCCGTCCGATAAGTTTTTCATTGGCATCACCTGAGCTTTACCTGTCAGGCCAAACCTGCCAATTGCTGCCCTCATCTTCTCTTCCTCATTCCCGGGGTACTCTTGGATCATGTACTGAAGTGCAGACAAATCCATGTCAAGCTTTTCTGCCAAGTGTTGGTGGTACTGTGCAATTTTCAGATGGTTGTGGCGCTTGACCATTCCATCGAGGGGGGTCAAATCACCAACCATGAGTTTAAGCAACGTGCTCTTTCCTGCCCCATTTGGGCCCACAAGTGCAATCCTTGAATCCAAGTCGACACCAAAATCTAGATTCTTATAGATAAGGTTATCGGGAGTGTAGCCAAAGCTCACCTCGACAAACTGTAAAACAGGCGGGGGAAGTTTCCCGACATCTGGGAATCTGAAAACAAGGACACTGTCCTTGGTGACTTTCTGGGTAAGGCCACCCCTCTCCATCTTGGCCAAAGTTTTCTCTTTGCTTTGTGCTTGACGTGCAAGTTTGGCTGACCCATGTCCAAAACGGGCAATGTACTCCTTCATTGAGGCAATCTGCTCTTGCTCCCACTTGTATTGTTTCATCTGGTTCTCTTCAAGTTCAGAGCGTGTTTGGACATATTGGTCATAATTTCCCGAGTATATCTTCAGTTTCTTGTTTTGCATGTGAATGATGTTGGTGCATACACCATTGAGAAAATCTTGTGAGTGTGAAATAACCACCAAAATCCGGTCGAAGTTCTTTAATGTTTCTTCTAACCACACACAAGCTTCCAAATCTGCACCAAGAGAGTTCATAAGCATTTGACTCCCATAACAACAAATCTGAACTAGTGCAACTAACTAATTGCACATAATTGGAAGCAATAGCTCATTTGTTGTTCCCTAATTTGATATGTTTTAAAATATGTCACAGCTTTTCGGCTACAATAAATGCAGATTTTTTTTTTAAAAAAAAGATGTAGCCTGAAGAGTTGGAGGATCCTCTTCGCCAACTACACGGTAATTTTTCCTTTGAATTGAATCATTTCATGGTTTTGGATGGATAATCAGTCTCTTATTTCATGATTATTGTCCAGTATAGATCAAGCATTTTAAGATCTAAACTAATTCTCTCTTAATTGCTTACTAGTTATGTACTCTGTATGTTGAGTCAATGATCAAGCTTTCTGCTGTAATATGGACCCTCAAGGTTTAGGAATTGGGCATTGACTATGAAAAATTCAATTTCTAATTCGTAAAAGAGCTGTGATTGTTTTGTTTTTGTGTTAGTACATGGGACTTGTATTTAGGGAAAAGATTGAATTGGGGGGTTTGGATTAACTTGAAAGAGGGAGACACAATGCAACTTGGGGGATCAAGTCGGGTATACAGGCTACATTAGATTCCCTTGAGCCAAGCCTTTGATTTGGATAATCCATTTGATCCTCCAAATCTCCTTAGAAAATGATATTTAAGAGTCATCTAAAAAGAAGAAAAAATAGGTTTCTAGGAAATGCAGATTTTAAATAATTAGATACAACAGTAGCTTTCAATGAAAAAAGATGAGTAAATTTACCAAGATGATTTGTGGGTTCATCAAGTAACAATATGGTTGGATTCATAAATATGGCACGTGCAAGGGCTATTCTCATTCGCCATCCTCCTGAAAAGTCACGTGTTTTCTTTTCTTGCATCTTCTTAGTAAACCCAAGCCCATACAAAACCTCCGCAGCTCTCTTCTCAGCAGTAGATGCGTCCATAGCTTCCAAACGCTCATATATACGATCGAGTTGTTCCCCACCCCCATCATCCTGATGTCAGAATATAATGTGTTACCACTGATAATAATATTTAAAACAACAAATAGCTGACAAATAATTGTATCTTGTCAAAAAAGGCACCGTACTTGTGCAGCCAATATTTCAATTTCTTTCTCTAATTTCAACCTTTCCTCATCACAACTTATAACAGCCTGAAGTGAAGACATGTCAGAAGCTTCAATCTCATGGCTAAGGTGATAAATATCCATATGCTCTGGGATGGGAAGCTCACGACGTCCTATCGCAGTGAGAAGTGTCGATTTACCACATCCATTCAATCCTAGCAATCCATATCGTCTACAAATAATGATACATATGTTATAATATAAGCTCAATCCCGCACAATAAACCATTACATCTCCAAGCACACTAAAATGGCCAAACAACCCACATACCTTCCATAGTTGAGTTCCAGTTCAGAATCAGCAATAAGTTCATGCCCATGGAACGTAAGAGACAAAGACTCAATCTGGAGTTTTGGAAAAAAAGGTCATCAAAATTATCATCCAGCAAAACTAATCATAATGGCCGATTACACACTACTAATCCAAAAGATTTAACTTTGCAGATCTAGAAGTGTAAAAGGAAAAAGAAATCAAATGTTGAACTCATAATTTGGTTTGTCTAAAATCTCTGAGTTTCGATAAAGCAGATGAAACTGTAAAGATAACAAACATAACACAAAGAAAATACATCTGTATTCTGCAGTTCTGCCCCAATACATCAAGCAATCGAGATCCTGGTAAACAACAAACGGATCGCAAAACTAACCCGAATATCCCTGGACAGGGGATGCGAGCACAGAACACCGGTGCACGTTCGATCGGAAATCTGAAGCTCCTTAACTCCGTTCGACAGATTATCAGCGCCGTTAATCTCAACGGCAGATGTCGCCGGAGCCTTGGACGACGTGGCTGCCTGTGCAGATTTTACGCCGCGCTTGGCAGCGGCAGCTGCCTTCTTCTGCGCTTCTCTCTTCTTACTAGCGTCAGAAACCATCTGTCCAGTCCAGATCACAAAGCATGACCACAAAGAAAATCGACAAAAACAAAACTGTAGAAGAAAACAGAAACGGAGAAATCAAATCACCTTGATGATGCGGGAGAAGAGGAAATCTGAGGAGCGATTTACGGGCGGCCAAACGACAGTCCGGTGAATCGTTTGAGTTCTGTGAGAAGGGAGAGAAAGAGAGGCTATGGCGTTAGGGTATTGTATTTATATACCGAGTGAAGTGGAAAGACGATGGTACACGTGTCGACTCTGGAGTGACCTGATTGCGGACGGAATTACCTGATTTCTCTCTCTTCACCGTCCTAAAACGACGACGCTTCCACATTCCCGGTTGCGGGCTCGCTTGTTGGTATCCCTTTTGGTCTTTTTTTATTTGGGCCTTCCTTAGAGCAGCTTCCTCTCCTACTTCGAGGTCACTCCAAATGGGAGTGAACGTGGTGGGTATTTAACTTGTAGTTTTAGTGTATCAAATTTTTCGATTCGATATGAAATCTTACGCCGTACGGGTATTTATACCGATTATAATCTCAAAATATTAGTTCAGTATAGTTTAAAATTTTGAATGGAGTGCTTGAATTTATAAGAAAGATTGAATGGAGTGCTTGAATTTTAAATAAAATGAAGGAAGATAAGAGATTTTATAGAATTTAGAAAAATAAATTCGTTGGAGCAAAAAATAAGGGCTAGATGAAGTGCAACCGAAAATTAATCGATATTTAGAACGTAAAAATCGATTAATATAGTTTGTCCGAAATTCCTTCTCGGAAAGGTGATGCTAATCGATTATTCCCAAAGGGTATTAATCGATTAATTAGTTCTGTAAGAAAATCCTTCGGATTGAAAGGATAATCGATTAAGTCAAA